CTATTTCGAAATTTGATTTCCGTTTTTTCACGTGATCATCGTCATTGATTCGCCCCACGCGCCCGCAGCGTATGGTTCTCCCCTAAATAAAAATCCCAAATCGCAAAGCACCTTAACAAACGGGATAATTGGGGCGACGCGAGTGCCGTTTTTCACTCTCTCCCACTAAAGTCTCTCGATGGACTCTCTTACTCTGTTCTGTACCGGGGCTCTTCTCGCTGGCGGTCTCTACTGGTTTGTCTGTATTCTCGGTCCTGCGGAGCAGAAGGGCAAACGCGCCGTTGACCTCTCTGGAGGCTCGATCTCTGCTGAGAAAGTGCAGGACAACTACAAACAGTACTGGTCCTTCTTCCGCCGGCCGAAAGAGATCGAGACCACCGAGAAGGTGCCTGACTTCGTCGACACGTTCTACAACTTAGTCACTGACATTTATGAGTGGGGTTGGGGCCAATCGTTCCACTTCTCCCCTTCCATTCCGGGGAAATCTCACCGCGATGCCACGCGCCTGCACGAAGAGATGGCCGTCGATCTCATCGACGTAAAGTCTGGAGATCGAATCCTTGACGTTGGATGCGGCGTTGGCGGGCCCATGCGTGCTATTGCATCTCACTCGCGGGCCAATGTTGTGGGAATCACCATCAACGAATACCAAGTAAATCGCGCCCGGTTACACAACAAAAAGGCGGGGCTTGATTCCCTCTGTGAAGTTGTTTGCGGTAATTTCCTCCAGATGCCGTTCTCGGATAGCAGCTTCGACGGCGCGTACTCAATCGAGGCGACATGTCACGCGCCGAAGCTCGAAGAGGTATACTCCGAGATTTTCCGGGTTCTGAAACCCGGATCCTTATACGTCTCCTACGAGTGGGTCACGACGGACAAGTACCGACCCGATAATCCGGAACACGTGGAGGTCATTCAAGGAATTGAGAGAGGCGACGCATTGCCTGGTCTCCGAAGCTACAGAGACATTGCCGAGACGGCAAGAAAGGTAGGCTTTGAAGTGGTGAAAGAAAAAGATCTAGCGAAGCCTCCGGCGCAGCCGTGGTGGACCCGGCTCAAGATGGGTCGGATCGCGTACTGGAGAAACCACATTCTCGTCACCGTACTCTCCGCTTTGGGTATCGCCCCGAAAGGCACCGTCGATGTCCACGAGATGCTCTTCAACACAGCTGATTATTTGACCCGCGGTGGCGAGACCGGAATTTTCACTCCGATGCACATGATTCTCTGCAGAAAACCGGAGGCGCCGTCGCCGAAAACATCTTAATTCCTCATGGTACTTCCATGGACCATAGCATTGTATTCTGCCCTTCCTTTAATTTTTTTTCCCAATTCCCTGGTTTTTTTTTTTTTTTTTTTAATTTTAATTGATGAAAATCATGTATCCCTTATTTTCTTCGTTTTAATTTTATTTAAATTTGAGTTGTTAATCATGCCTTATATCGAAGGGAACGAAAAATTTTGTTCGTTTTTCTCTAATTTCACTTTTTCTAAGAAAAAAATATTGAATACTCGGAAATTTAGTGGTTCTGTTTGACCCAAAAAATTGCTGAGACGAAATTCAAAAAAACAAGGGGACAGCTGCATTCAGAGGAACCTACGTCTCGATTTTCCGCCACATCTTTTATTTTTTTTAATTTTCTCAAGCAGTCACCGTCGGATCAATTAAGTAAAAAATATCTAAGAATTTTTAACGGTGCGGATCTGCGATGAACCTGGGAGGACGTGCAAAGAGGGGGAAAAGTTGGAGTTGTACACGAGGCGCACATGTATAAGTTAGACATGTTTGCGAGGATGTCCCGCCAAAAGCTGTTTCTTCTTTTGTGCGTTTCTGTCTCCTTTTGAAGTGCTGGAAATTGGACAGGTGGGCCACCAGCCCACGCCTTCTTTGGATCGTCCACCGTTGCTTCCGTTCTTTCTGTCTTATTGCCAGCAAGGAATTAAATTAAAAATTCTCAATTGGTGATTTAAAAATATCTACTATTATTGTACCATTTTATGCTAATTTAGGAAATCCAAACAATTTCTATTTTTCTTCTATAATTTCGACCTTAATTGATAATCATAGTTGTCATTCATGTTAATATTTAGTGTGTTTTTTATATATAGTTTTTTTATATAATTTTTATATATTATTAAATAAATAAATATACTCAATATCACATGTTTTAAATAAGTAAAAAAATTTTAATTATTTAAATAACATATAAATTATAAAATTATATAAAAAAATAATACAAATATTTTCTTAAATTATTTTTTATGTTAATTCATAATAATTCTTATATCGTCCAATTTAGAGATTTTGACGTGGAATAATGGAATAGGAGAATCAGGACAAATCTTATTCTAAGTTAGGAAATTCAAATCTAAAATCTGTGTAGTTGTGGCTGTTTAATGTGGTTCTTGATATGGGATAAAAAAAAAAAAAATCTCGTTACGATTTCTTTTTCTAATTTCCATTTCGACCTTATCTTTACCAAAGTTACAAGACGAGTGCAATGTGTTCACCATAAGCCGCCAAGTGCACAAACACTTAGGACTTTATTCTCTCTCTCTCTCTCTCTCTCCTCCCCCCAACTTTTTTTTTTTTTTTTTTTTTTTTTGGATTTCTTGGGGAAAAAGTGCACTCGGCAGCCAGCATTTCCCAAGTTACAAAGTTTTGTATGATTTCAAGTGATATCAAATAAGTGGTTAGTCGTAAACTCTTTACTGTTACTGATAAATATTACTATATAAATTAATCATTATCTTGTGCCGTCTCAGTGATTGGTGGAACTACATGAGCAGGGAGTTGGGTACAGACCCTACTTTTTTTTTTTGGTTTCTCGTTCGGTATTCAAGGTTTCGTCTCGATTAATTCGAACTCGACCCACTTTGCGCACCTAGAAATGGTAGGTGAATTTCTCAGCGGGGGTTGCTGCATACACAAGGTCTCGAACTCGAAACCTTACTTAAGTTGAAACATGCCACTTACCACTTGATCCAACCCCTCGTTGGTAGTACAGACCCTACTCTAAGTCTTTTAAAATTCAAAATAAAAAGATATATGTTAAGGTTGTAAGAAAAAGAATATCAAACGCCTTATCTTAATTTCATTGTACATTTTAGAGTTAGTATTGAAATGAAAAAAAGTCCTACCTTCCATCTGTGGTTTTGCCACTCGTATCAATCTTATCTTGGATTTTGAACAATGGAAAAGAAATTTAATTATGAAATCTCATAAATTAACCTTGTAATCTTATATTTTACAGATATTTTTTTGTGAGTCTCGTGTGTTTAACTATGGTTGATTAGTTTCCTTATCAAGTCTAAAGTGATTAACCTTTTCTTCTTGGCTTCATGTTTCATGACGGAAAATCTAATTTGCGAATCATCTTCTGACTGTGTTCTTTTTTACTTTTTTTGTTTTCCTCAAAATCCCCATCCATACTACGACTATAACCTTCTTGGAAGCATATATCTGTCTATAAGCTTGTTCATGTTAAATCTGGTTTGGGTTAAGACTTACGATCTGAGTCAAACCCAGAAATATCCCAAATATTCACTTCCCACAGGCCTAGTTTCAGTTTTGTAAACTTATTTCGGGCATTTGGGTTGGGCCTCAAGTTGTAAAGTCCAGATGAAAAATCATCTTATCTCCATGAGGGGTGAATATTTTTTTAATATAGATCGGTATGAATTACATTTGATAATTGGTTTAAAAGTTTTTAAGTGTAGTTTTTTAAATTTGATACTTATTCGAATATTTAAAAATCTTTACTTGATATTTAACCTTATAAGTATTGGGTAACTTGTGAATATATATTTATATACTAAGAGGAACAAAAGTTTACTATAAAATACTATTGTTATGTATATTATGTGTATGGGTTATAATTTATTATTTATATGAGTTTTTATTGTTGCATGTTTGATTTGTTTGGTTTATAAGTTTTATTTAACATTTATTTATATTTTATTATTTTATTTATTTTATTTTTTTAACTTTTTATGATATATATTAAATATAATAAGTATATATAAAATTTTAAATATACAAGTATAAGTAATAAATTAATTAAACACGTTAGGTAAATAATTTCAAATCTTTATATTTGTTTTTTGATTTGATACTCACTAATATAATATTTATTTTTTGATTTGATACTTACTAATATATTATTTTTATATTCATTACTTATCTTTTTTATAGTTTGCATATGATACTTATTCACCTACGTAAAATACTTACAAATAACAGGTG